GACACTGCAGGGGTGGCCCTGGGGGGGTGTCCCCTGTTTTGGGGCTGGGGTGGCACTGCGGGGTCACGTGCCATGGGGATTGGAGGCGAGGGGTGCCATGCGTAGGGGTGGCATCGGGGGTGACACAGAAGGTGGCATTGGGGGTCATGAGGGTGGCACTGGGGTGTAGGGGTGACAGTTCATGGTTTATGGGTGTCACGGCACTGGGAAGCGTGATACATGGGGCTGAGGGGCACGGGGGTGACACGGGTACGGGGTGGCACTGGGAGGGGTGGCACAGCCACAGTGACGTGACCTGGGCACACGAGTGGGAGCCAGGCAGCCGCGAAGCTGCAGGACGGAGGCGACTCGGCCCTGAGAACGTGGAGCCGTGGGGACACTGGGGCTGCGCGTGGGACACGCGGGGACACGTGGGGTCACACGGGGACACACGGGGGGCTCACGAGCGCCCTGCCGGCCCCGCGCGCAGGGCCTGGAGCGCACGGAGCGCGAGGGCTTCGGCGGCGGCAACACGGCCTGGGAGGAGGAGAAGCTGGCCAAGTACAAGCACAGGTGAGGGGGCACGCGGGGCGGCACGGGGCCCGCGCGGGTGTCCCCACGCGGCCGTCCCCACGCGTGTCCCCGCTGTGCACAGCGAGACCCGGCTGCTGGAGGTGCTGGAGAGCGTCTGCGCGCCCGCCGACTTCGCCTGCCACCAGCTGCTGGAGCGCAGCGAGGAGCACGTGGAGCGCTGGTGGTTCCACGAGTGAGCGCGGGGACGGGGACGGGGACGGGGATGGGGCGGGTGGCACCGCCGCCGCGCGGCCCCGGCCCTCAGCGCCCCGTCCCCGCGTCCCCAGGCGGCAGCAGCACCCCGACTTCTTCCAGTGGCTCTGCATGGACAGGCTGGCCGTGTGCTGCCCCGCCGGCACCTACGGCCCCGAGTGCCTGCGTGAGTGGCCTGGCGCGGGCAGGGGGGTGACAGGCTCCCTATAGGGGTGCTGGGGCTGGCAATGGGGTGACCGGCTCCCCATAGGGGTGTTGGGGCTGGCGGGGGGTGACCGGCTCCCCATAGGGGTGCTGGGGCTGGCAATGGGGTGACAGGCTCCCCATAGGGGTGCTGGGGCTGACGGGGGGTGACCTGGCTCCCCATAGGGGTGCTGGGGCTGATGGGGGGGTGACCGGCTCCCCATAGGGGTGCTGGGGCTGACGGGGGGGGTACCGGCTCCCTATAGGGGTGCTGGGGCTGGCAGGGGTGTCACCCGGCTCCCTATAGGGGTGCTGGGGCTGGCGGGGGGTGACCTGGCTCCCCATAGGGGTGCTGGGGCTGACGGGGGGCATGACTGGCTCCCCATAGGGGTGCTGGGGCTGGCGGGGTGGGTGAACCGTTTCTCCATAGGGGTGCTGGGGCTGACGGGGGGGGTGACCGGCTCCCCATAGGGGTGCTGGGGCTGGCAATGGGGTGACCGGCTCCCCATAGGGGTGCTGGGGCTGGCGGGGGTCCCTGAGCCGCCGCCGTCTCCTTGCAGCCTGTGCCGGCGGCCCCCGGCAGCCCTGCAGCGGCAACGGCAAGTGCGACGGGGACGGGACGCGCGGCGGCACCGGGCTGTGCGTGTGCAGCCCGGGCTACGGCGGGCCCTTCTGCGCCGAGTGCGGCGACGGTTACTACGAGGCGTCGCGCAACAAGAGCCACCTGGTGTGTGCCGGTAGGTGTCCGGTGCGGGACACGGCGGTGCCGCCGGGCCGGGTGCCGGTGCCCATGCCCGCCCCGTGCTCCCCATTTGCAGAGTGCTACTGGGCCTGCGGGCGCTGCACGGGGCCGGAGGACTCGAGCTGCCTGCGCTGCAAGCGGGGCTGGGTGCTGCACGAGCGCCGCTGCGTCGGTGAGTGCCGCGCGCGCCGACGGGGACAGGGCTCAGGGTGCAGCTCGGGGCGCCGGCTGGGGACGAGGCCCTGGGTGCTGGAGTGGGGATGGAGCGGAGGGTGCAGCCAGCCGCCCCCCTCACTCGCCCCGTGTCCCGCAGATGTAGATGAGTGCGGCACGGAGATGGCGCACTGCCGAGCCAACCAGTTCTGCGTCAACACCGAGGGCTCCTACGAGTGCCGAGGTGAGAGGACCGTGCGGGGTGTCCGCGCCGTGATGCACCCGGGACCCGCTGCCTCTCCCCCGCCGCTTGGGAGGTTGCCCATGGGCCTCCTGGTGACGGTGCTCAGTGCCCTGGCAGCCGGGCTCAGTGTCCTCCCCTCTGCAGACTGCTCCACGGCCTGCATCGGCTGCATGGGCGCGGGGCCGGCCCGCTGCAAGAAATGCAACAAGGGCTACTGGCGGGATGGAGCCAAGTGCCTCGGTGAGTGGCCTCCCGCGGGCCGGGTGCCGCTGCTGTCCCCGCGTCCCCTGCGCGAGCGCCGCGTCTCTCCACAGACGTGGACGAGTGCGCGAGCGCCGAGGAGCCCGTGTGCAGCGGCGCGCAGGAGGTCTGCGAGAACACGGAGGGCGGCTACCGCTGCGTGTGCGCCGCGGGCCACGTCCGCAGGGACGGGCAGTGCGTGGAGGACAAGCCGCCCGGTACGGCCTGGCCCCCGGGGCCGGGGTGGCAGCGCGGGGCTCTGCGCGCCCTGCTCTCCCCTCACCCGTGGGTGCTCCCCATGCAGACGCCCCCGAGAAGGGCTTCTTCGACGACGTGACGGAGGACGAGGTGGTGGTGCTGCAGCAGATGTTCTTCGGCGTGGTGATCTGCGCCCTCGCCACGCTCGCCGCCAAGGGCGACATGGTCTTCACCGCCATCTTCATCGGGGCCGTGGCTGCCATGGCCGGCTACTGGCTCTCCGACCGCGGCGACCGCGTCCTCGACGGCTTCATGAAGGGTAGATAGCCCTGGGCACGGCCACGGCGTGGGCACGGCCCCCGCGCGCGGCCCGGGGCGCGCGGCGCTCGGAGCAGGGCTGGCCGCCAAGGCCGGATCCCGTGCGCGGAGCTGGGGGCTGCACCCGCCCTGCATGAGACCCCCCAGCCCTTCCCTAGAGTAGGATCTCACCTCTCCCCCGTCCTGTGGAACCAGTGCTAGGGCTCCCGGCCTTCCCTCCTTCCCACCGGGATCCGGCAGGGATCCCCCTCCCGCAAGCGCAGCCCTGCCGAGCGCCCGGCCGCTGCTTTGGCACCGCCACGTGCCAAGGAGCAGGTTGTCCCCTGCTCGGGTTGTCCCCTGTCTGGGTGTCCCCTGAGCTGGGGCTCTCGGTTCCTGGGGAGCCCTGCGCTGTGTCCCGTGGGTGCCTGGGCTCTCGGTGCCCTCGCCGCCCTGGCACAGCTGGGATGGGTGCCCAGAGCGGCCGGCTGAGCTGGGCGGGATGTGCCACACGGGCCCCTGTGCTCTGCATCCCGCCCTGCATCCCGCTGTGGCCAGGGGGATCTGGCCAGGCTCGCGGGACGGCCCTGCTCCCGAGTGCAGGGAGAGCCCTGGGTCTGGGGCCTCGTCCGTGCTCCCGGAGCGGGAGCAGGGAGGTGCCCACACCCACAGGGTGGGCAGGACCCCAAAGCGCCCCGTGCTGCTCCCTGGAGCCCGGCTGTGCCGAGGGTGGCTCGGAGCCGGGCACGGAGCGGTGGCCGCGGCGCTGGCCGCGGTTCAGGCTGCTGCCCCTGGGCGCGGGGGAGCCGCAGTGTCACCACGGGGCTGGCACGCGGCGCACGTGGCAGCACCCGGGGTCCCCTTGGGGCAGAGGCGGCCCCGGCCCGTCCTGCCGCGGTCCCCGGCCCCGCTGCCCGTGGCTGCCGCCCTGCGCGGGGCCGCGGGCGCCGTCCGGCCCGGCCGCCCTGTCTGCTGCATGCGCCTGGCCTCGCCGCTCTCCGTCGGTGTGTCCATCTGTCCGTGTTGTCCACATCTCAGGAAATAAAGCTCCCTGTTCACCCAGCCCGGCTGCTGGCCCGCTGCCTGGGGCCTGTGGGAGCTGCGTGGGGGGCACGGGGCCAGCAGGGGCGTCAGCAGAGGCCCCAGGGCTGCACTCTGGAGACATAAACTTTATTTCTCTCTTTTGGCACAAATAGACCTGGCTGAGACCAGCTCCCCCCTTCCCTCCGCCCGGCCCCACGGGGGCTCTCCCCAGCGCGGGACGCGGCCCCACCAGCCCCACGGAGGCAGAGGCCGCACGGTGCCAAACGGCGCCGGGGAATCGGGGCAGGAGCGGGGGGCAAGGAGAAAAAGAAGCCCCAAAAAGGTGCAGGGAGGGGGTGCTGCCCCCCGCTCACAGCTCAATGGTGTCGCTGGAGAGGCTGCGCGAGTCCACCTGCTTGCTGAGCGCCAGGAAGCTGCGCCGGGCCTCGCGCTCCGAGTCGGGGGCGCGCGCGGCGGCCGGGCGGGCGAGCAGCGGC